GGTATATGTATTTTTACATATATTATATACATATATACCGTTTAAGTATCTAATATTACTGGTAGATTTTTATCTTCCTTAAGTATTTTCTCATAAAACACTTCTTTCATGGTAAAAGATTTTTTCTATTTTGAATATAAAGTTTAATGTTTAAAAAAATAATTCTAATATACATATATCTAATATACATAATATTTAAACAAACGAATTTCATTAATTACACATTTTATATAAAATATTTGATGAACAATAACGTTCTGAATAATTTGAGAACTCAAGAAATTTAACATTTACATCTGCGTATTTTCCGATATATTGTTTTTATTCATCTATTTCTTCTACACACAGTATGCATCGCATATCTTTATACATTTCTTTTGAAGCTTCTTATTTTTATTTTATTTTTTAAGTTTGTTTTAAATTAAAACATTTGATTAGATTTATTACTTTGTTTTGCGAGAGAAATATATGAATATATTTTTTGTTATTATAAACGTAAATGCATTCAAAATGTTTAATGAAATAATTAAGAATTCTTTCATAACCGAATATCTGACAAATTTTGTTGAACGTTTTAATCACATCTCTGCACAAAATACTTTGCAAGTCAATACAAAGTTTCTATCTATTTTTCAATATTTGTAACAATGTTTAAGTGATTTCCGATACATTTTATTTTGCGTTAATTATTTAAAATTTGTTTTTTCTTAATTCAGAGTTATCTTATAAATACAGCATCCTTAATTAAAAATAATAATCACAAATGGGATTGAATGGACTGCATTGTTGCATATTAATTGGTTGCATGTAAATTGATAAAAACATAAACGTTTGTCAATGAAATATTTGCTGCAAGTTGTACTATTCAGTGCAATTTAAGCTAGACATTACAATTGGTTAAAACCTATACATTACGATAAAATTTCTGTATAACTGTTTTTAACATGTATCATTATTCATTGATACATTTATGGTTTGAATTTATAGTAAGCTACAGAATAATCTTGCTAATTTAATATTCGCAAAATTAGGGAATATTGTGCTTCGCTTCTACGCCCATATATGATTCCCGTAGCTTAATGTATATATCGTAGAATAATACGATCTAGCTCCAATTTCAAGCATTCCCATGGTCATATTGGAGATAGAATTGCACTTTGCACTGTCATCCGGGGAGAGAGAGAGAGGGGGGGAGAGAGAGAGAGGGAGAGAGAGAGAGAGAGAGAGAGAGAGAGAGAGAGTTTGCGGTAAGAATTGCTGACACTACGGCACTGCGAATTGTCTGTTTTGATGTCGTGGTGCGGTTACTGCGACACATGCCGTTCAAAGTGGCAATGTGCTAAAGACAAGGAGAAGAACATATCGGAAAACATATCGAATCTATTCATATTCTATCTTCAGAATCCTTTTTTGAAAATTATTACACTCATATACATATATATTAACTGCAATAATAACAAATGCAAAATTTCATTCAGGTTAAATTACATTATACTGTCAAAATTACAAAAAAGATGATCCCTTTTCCAGCTGAAAAAATGCACGTGTATTATGAAAAAAATTTACTAAATTTTAATAAATATTTGTTTGAATAACTAAAAGTTTATTTATTTACAACAAATAAATATTTTCTTAATGAAAAATACTTAACTAAAATTAATAATTTTTGTATCAAATAAATATACAGGATAAGTAAAAAGTCCCGAATCGGTGAAATATCTCGAAAAATAAGTATTACTGAAAGAAATGTTTCCTACAAAAGTTGTAGGGTTTTAAATAATCTATTCACTGATCTGACTTTACCAAGATTAGGTTACGTCGATTTTTTTAAACGGCACACTCTATTTTTAATTCCAGAATCTCTAATAGTTGGTATCAAGAGCTATTCAAAACACTTAATAAAGTTGTTTTTCATTAAGTACTTTTTGAGTTGTAAGGCTTGAAAGTTATAATACCGCCAGCATTAACATTACGCAAGGTGTCCGACCGATAGCTCTTGAATGTTGTTTAGGATCACATTCTATATAACATTTGTTAAGATCAGAATCATTGAAGATTGTTTTTTCATTTTTACTTGATCTTATTTTTATTTTCGCACTAAATTTATTTTTATTTAAAAATGAAAGTAAGAGAAACAATCTCTCCAATAACCTTGATATTAACAAATATTATCCAGAGCATGATCCTGAACAATATTTAAGAGGCTTTAGCCTCTTCGATTGGACACTTTGCTAATGCTGGCAGTACTGTAGCTTTTAAACCTTACAACTCGAAAAGTACTTTATGAAAAATAACTTTATTGTAGTGGTTTGAAAAGCACTTGACACACCAGCTATAATTAGATTCTGGGATTAAAAATGGGATGTGTCATTTAAGAAAATCGATGTGATTTTGATTTAACCTTGACGATGCCACCCAAGATCAAACAGACCAGATCAATGAATAGATTATTTAAAATCCTACAATTTTTATAGAAAACATTTGTTTCGGAAATTCTTAGCTTTTGAAATATTTTACCAGTCCGGGTTTTTATTTACATGTTTTCAAACATGGAGGTGAAGATGGCAGTCTATTTATAGAAGTTTGTATGTATAACGTGTAGAAAAGGTACGCATACAAGCGAATAATCGGCTGTCTGGTTAAAATAGAAAAGGCTGTGGCAATATGTCTGTTTGTGATGCTTGTGCACGTACCTTTTGCAGTATCTTCGCTTTCTTTCTCTTCAACGCCCAAATATAT